TTCTTAAAGACCATCTAATAAACTTTATATATTCTTTTTTTGTTTTTTCTGGCATATTGTGTGCTAGTATATTTACAAGTAAGCTATTGTTCTAGTTACAATTTCACTTGCTTAGGGCCCTTATGCTTTTTTTAAGAGGTTCTCCTACTATATCAATTTCTTTTTCAAATTCTAGTTCAATAACTTTTTGTTCTTGTTCTTTTCTTTGTTTTTCTGCATTTCTTTTTTGACTAAACAAGTTTTTTTGCTTTTATTAGATTTGCTCTACTTCTATTTTGCTGTTGTTATTAGTACTTACCTTTGCTACCTCTTCTTTCTGTAATATTTTGTTGATTCTTGGGCTCTCACTTCATGTTGATTCCTTTTTTGGTTTCTTTTTTGATGTTTGGTCTTATTCTATCTTTTGTGTTTCTCTCATTCTTGCAGTTTGGTTACATTTCTCCTTAAGTCTGTTTTGACCTTGTTCTAGAATAGGTTCTACTATCATTGCATAGTTGCTTTGCTCTACTATACTTAATTTTCTTTCTGGTTGCTCTTTCTCTGCTTTATCTATTAATTTTCTTGTTAATCTTAGTAAAGCAACTTCTTCTAAATTCTGATTTGTCAACATAGCAACAATTTTATTTCCTTTGCTAGGCAATACATATATTTTATCTACTTGTTTGATAAATATACCATTTTGCATACTATTGATAGCCCAGTATGTTCTATTGATATATATTGTTATTAGACTGTTGTTACATCTTTTAGTTATATCCATATTTCTATCTATATTAAGCATATGTTTGTTTTGCTTGTCCTATACATGGTTGAGTTGCTTGTTTGTTTATGTCCTTGTGTTCAAAACAGATCTGCGATATCAGGTTAGTGCCAATTCCCCAAAATATAACAATTTTCCAAATTTTTGAGCATTTTTTTTAAGAAATTTTTTGTTTTCTTTGCCTTTTCTACATTGTATTTCTTGTGTTTGTTTATTTCTTTTCTTTTTTTATATCTTTCTTGGATGCTTTTTCTTTTTATTTAGTTCTGCCAAAGTAGTTTAAAAGGCCACTTTTGCATAAAATCAGTTTTTCTTTTTGGTCGATTTTGTGTTTAGATGATTAGCGAGAAGAGTTTTTTTTTTTTAAATATTAAAATGAGTACTTGTGACTTAGGATTTTATTGATAGTACATTTAGCTAATGGTTGCATTACAACCTTAGAAGGCAACTATGGAAAGAGTATACAACTAGCCACTCATACAACTTTAGTTATTGTCTAATTTAAGTAGTCTGCCTGAAGGTTCTACACTAGCTACCATACCTGAAACCTGCTTGTAGATTCCCTATTTAACTACTCTGTTCCCGTATCCACCCATCTACCTACATCTACCAAGATGCTCCAGTTGATACTGGTTCAAATATGTCATGATCACTAAGTCTTTAAAGTGGTTCACTCACATAAGAAACCTTTAACCTTGTACTAAACCTTCAAGAATTTTCTGTATTCTATTCTTACAGCTGATCTAATATCACTATGGCCAAGACCAACACTTGCAGTCAGGGCATATCATTAAACTGCTATGCCCTTGTAGAGTTTATTCCAATTTCAGTACTAACTTCACAACATATCCTTACTACTTTGATATTCAATTTAAGTTCCATCAAGCTGCCATTCCAGATAGTCTGGAAAGGTAGGTCAAAACCATACATCTCTGGTTCACATGTTTGCTAGCATGTGCCCTTTTTCTCTAGAATTCAGAAATTCTGGCAGCCTGGTTGGTTCATCTGGTCTCTTCTTAAAGACTAGCACATTTGTCCAGTTTCACAAGTTCTAGCTCTGTTTTATAAGTTTAGTCTTTACAGTAGCACTGTCGAAGGTTTAGGTTACTTCTCTACTCAGGTCTTTTAAGTAGGCTTTCATCTTTCTATCTAGTTTTCTTGATTTACATGGCCTAAGGACTTATCTTGGGTTTATACTACCCGATACTGGTTTGTATTCCCTCATACAATGTTGTATGAGTGCCTAGACCTTCCAGTCATACTAGTATGACATGGGTTACAGGTATCTTATTCCAACCAATCACAGAAGACAGTTAGTCATAACACAAAAAGAATTGCAAATTTTCGTTGTCACTAGGATTTGAACTCTAGACCTGCCACTTGGGGGTTGACAACCTATTCACTTCACTAGGTTACCACACCCTTTCAGTGAGAAGAGTTAAGTTTTTGTATTTTGAAATTATAATATAAAAATATTAATTTCTTAAATTAATTAATTTATTTATAAATTTTTTTATAAATTTTTTTTTTTTTTAATATTAAAGATGAATATTTGCAATCTAGACTTTTATTAATAGTATGTTTTAGTTTTATAATTGTATTATAATAGCTACAGAAAGTAATTATAAAAAGAATATACAACTAGTCACTTGTATAACTTTAGTCATTGTTTAATTTAAGTAGTTTATTTAAAGGTTTTATACTAGTTGTTATATTTAGAACCTATTTGTAAGTCTTTTATTTAAACATTTAGATTTTTATATTCATCTATCTACCTACTCTACTTACAATTACAGTTTTTATTAATGCAAATATATTATTATTACTAGGTTTTTAAAATAGTTTATTCATATAAGGACTCTTTAACCTTGTATTAAACCTACTAGAGTTTTCTGTTATCTAATTTTTAGTTAATTCAGTATTGCTATAACTAAGACCAACATTTGCAATCAGAATAACTTTTAAACTGTTATATCTTTGTAAAGTTCATACAATCCCAGTACCTCCTTTTACAACCTTACTAATATTTTCTATATTCTTGCAAATTTTTTTATACTACTAATTCAGTTAACTCTATATAATGTAACTTCATATTTAGTTCAATTAGTAGCTAGATTAATAAACTTTTTTATTTAATATTCTTGACTATACAGATCATTTATTCCAGGTTTCTATCTTTGAATCAGAATTTTTACAGATAATACCATTAAAGATTGTACTATCTCTCTATTTAAGATTTTCAAACAAACCTTTTTATAGAATATATACTTTCCAAATTTATTCATATAATATTGCACACTTTCAAAATTAGTCTTAGTACAATTAGAATTACAAAATTATAACTTTAAATATTTCAAACAAGTTGCCAAAATAGGATTATTTTTCAAATTTCTATTGTCAGTAGAATTTGAATTCTAAATTTATATAAATCTATTAAAATTAAAAAACAAAAAACCTATTTAGAAAGATTCAAATAAAGAAATAATATAAATATTTAATAATATTATTATAAAAACTAAATTTAAAAAACAAATATCAATATAGAAAAACTAAATATGCAAAAATCTTTAATAGAGATATTACTAATTAGATTACTAAAATTTTAACTAAGAAGGTCAAAAAAAAGAATATTAAACTACCCTAATATACTAATAAACTGATTATAATTCTATACAAATTATCTAGATTTGAAGTTAAAAAACAAAAGTAAAGATATACTAAAGTATTAGAAATATGTTATAAAATAATACTAAAGTTTGAATGAACTTTGCAAAAGCATAATAATTTAATAATTAGTTCTAATCACAAATATTAGTTTTGTCATAATCATACCAAATCAACTATAAAAAAATAAGTACAAAAGGTTTTAAAAAATTTATCTTAAGAATAAAATAATCTTAAGATTGAAACAATAATTTAAGCATGATCCAATGATTTTAATACAGATTATAGGTTTGAAAAGTTTAAAATAAAACATTTAAGCAAAAATGTTAAGTACAGCAATTGATGTAAAACCTTCAAGCAAACTCTTTAAATAGGTAATATAAAAAAATTACAAATCTAATCAATTGTACACTCTTCTTATAATGGTTCTATATAAAATTACATTACTATAAAAGTGCTAATAAAAATCAAAAAACCAAAAAGATTATCTTAATACCAAAAAAAAATTTAAAGTTCTTGATAAAAAAGTAAAAATAAATACAATAAATACAGTTCAAAAACTTTTAATAAGAAAGACTGTTACCAACATTCAGTTAAACTTAATAATTCTTTTGATATATCATCTGTACTAACTAATAACTTAATTACAGTTTTATTTAACAGTAAGAAATTAAATAAAAGTATCAATAAAACTAAAATTAATTACTACCTTATTGAACCTATTAAGAAAAGACATTGTTATTTATTAAAATAATAAAAAAACAGATTTAAATACTATCAAATCTGGCTCCAAAGTATTTGTCTATACCAACAACATCTGTTTCTTTAAAACAATTATTTTCAAATGCTAGATTACACATTACAGCATTATACAACAGGCTTCATTCAGATATGGTTAAGTAAATATTATTTCTCAAATGTAATATGCAACATTTTTCTATTTTTAAACTAGATAAATTGTAATATAAATTATTAAAGTATCAAGTAACACAATGTGTTGTAAATTGAACTAAATTTGAAACAATTCTAATAAGCTATAGACCCAATAATTAAATACATAAATGGTTTACTATGACGGGTCGCATTTGGACTAATTATAGCTAGATGAGTTTTTATTAGACTGATCATGTGTGAACTGCTTGTATCTAGGGATGTTAAATTAGTCCGATCTGATCCAAAATGCCTATTTTATTCAATTTTCATAATTCCCAAATCAGTCTGATTTTAGATCGGACCGACAAACCCGATTTAACATCCCTACACTGCATGAACTATTTCTATAAAAGTAGGACCCGCTTAGGGAAAATCTGAAAAAAAATTTCAAAACTTGAAAACATAAACGATTTAATCCGCTTTTTTATCATTCCTAAATTTATGCATAGAACTTTATAAACTTTATTAATTTATATATTTACGCAAATGTTTACATTTTTTCGCGTGTTATTACATTCATTTAGATCAAATCGGATTATACATTTTAGGAAGTGCAATCAAAATTTGAAAAAACGGTTAATTATGAGATAAAACGAGTGCAACCCGACATGGAATGTAAACCTGTTAATAGAAAAAATCATTATTATATAATACACTCATATGGATCAAAGGCATTAAAGTTACTCACTTGAATGTAATTCTTTCGTCCATTCCATTGTTCGGGCTTTGATATATACACCTGGTTTTCATCTATTCTATCATGTCCTCCATACCTTTTATTATCAGTGTTAATCACTATCTTATAGTCACCTGCCCATTCTGTGCCAATTTTATAATCGACAAATGAATTCGTTGGATGAAAGTTGAAAATCCAAAGTAAATTTCCTCGTTCAAATACAATTAACTTATCATCTTCATGTTTTAGAGAAATATATGCCTTGTTGTTTAAGAAGTTGTATTGTAAATTTGAGCGCAAAAATAAATGGAGAAATGTATAAATCTATCACTAAACATTGATTACCTGTGGAGAGGATAACCATTCGAATTTATCTTCTGTGTGCTGTAGTGTTTTGTCAAATTCGTTTAAATATTTGTACCTTAGTAAATCGTCATCAACGACATTCCATTGCCGCCTTGCGTAATGATATGAGTTGTTATTTCCAGCTCGCGGAAAATCTAGCCATTCAGGATGCCCAAATTCATTACCTTCAAAATTGAGGTAGCCTTCTCCACCAAGGCCATGCGTCAACAAACTAAATAACATTTGTTTGTGAGTGATAATTCATATAAGATAAACATCAATCGAGATATTCACCGAATCATTTTATGAAGTGCTAATCCACGATCAATGATTGATGTAAGTGGAGTCAAATCTGACATGTTAGTATACATTTCCTTATCCATGAGCCAGAAAGCAATAGTCTTATCTCCGACAAGAGCTTGATCATGTGATTCTGCATAGGCAATATTTTTTTCCTAAAGATTATTTTAATTAATGAATATGCGGTTTGATCAAGTATAAATACATAAATGATAGATACCATATGTCTACGATTAGTCAGAGTCCAGCAGATGTTTCCTATGTTCCAATCATCGTCCCGCATTTCTTTCAATAACTTGATCCACATGTCTGGGATAGCCATAGCAAGACGGTAATCAAATCCAACACCGCCTTCGGAAACAGGGCGACATAGGCCAGGCATTCCAGATACATCTGCACTCCGAAAATATATATGGTTTAGTAATACAGAATGATACATTAATAATTTATAAGCAATATAAAAAATATTTACCTTCAGCAATGGTAATTATGTTTGGATATAATGAGTGAAGCATTTCATTTGCCTTAGGAAGCATAGATAACAATTCAATATTTTCAATATGAGCGTATTGAGGCAAATTTCATCTCTTATTATACGTACCAACATCAAATATACTACACTTCCTTCATCCACAGAATCACCAAAATATTCGCGATAATCACCAGAGAAACCCGTACCCATACCATGGTGAATGTACAACATGCTGGTAACACCATCAAATCTGAATCCATCAAACTTGTATTCCTCCATATAGAACCGAAGGTTTGATAGTAAGAACCGAAGTACTTCCCAGTGACCATAATTGAATAGGCGACTATATAAAGAAAAAGTTGATTGAGTGTATATTTTCTACATGTGTGAAAATGGTAAAGTTGAATGACTGATCATATTTACCTATCCCAGAGATCATGACGCCCTTTTCCTCCTTCGTGAAAGTAGCAATGATCAGAACCATCAAACATATTCAATCCATCCAACACATTTTTACATGCATGTGAATGTACAACATCTAGCAGTACATATAAACCCATGCCATGAGCAGTGTCGATGAGTCGCATTAACTCTTCGGGAGTTCCTTAATACAAAGCAATTAAATAACATATTGAGCTACCTTGGGTTGGACACATCATAATCACTGGTTAAAAAAATTAAAATTTAACTAAATAATACCTTGTAAATAATAACTTATTTACTAGGCAATATATGTATTTTAATATATTTGCTAGTAAGTATATTAAAATAAGTAAATTATACAGTAAATAAGTTATTATTTACAAGGTGTTATTTAGTTGATTTTAATTTTTAACCAGTGAATACCATTGAGCACTGCTTACAATATCTCCAAAACAATACCCTGTGATTAAGACTGGGTATTATTCACCTTCCCTACTTGTTTCTTGAATAAGACCCAGAATACATATTAATTTACTACTTTTAATAATAGTATATCCCCTAAATATAGTACCCAGTCCTTCACACAGTACCCACGGGTACTATTCAATTTTAAAAATGGAATTCTTAAATAAGACCCTGGATACTGTAAGCAGTGGCCAACGTCAATTATAACAAGAATGCTCTTACCATAACGACTGGAAATGGAGAAGAAACTAGTTACTTGATATCCGAAAGAAGCGTAATAAGCATGCTCCATAATTGCCATCAATTGAATAGCATTGTAACCCATATTTCTAATACGTTTTAACACATTATCTGTAAACTCGTTATAAGTACCGACGCGTCCTTCGGTTGTAGATATACCGACTATAATATAATTTATAAATGATAAATAATATTCTCCAATAGGAAATTCTATTTTGACTCGGGTCAAAATGACCCCCCTAAAATATAGGGTTAGTGCGGGCCATTAATGTCGGCCAGGTTTTATATCAAAAAACCTCGGCCGGCGTCAACATAATTCCGGCCCGCACTAACACTAAGGTGGATCATTTTGGCCCAGGTAAAATTGAAATTCCCTTAATAAAAGACAACCGAATAACCTAAATACCATGAGCTTCATATACTTTCAAACTTTTTGGTTTTTGAGGAGCTTTATTTTTCCAAAAATACTTTTCTGGTGGATTCCAAAAGATGGCTTCGTACGTAGGACTATTGGATAGATCTTGTGTCACTCGCTTGATCCAGGCAGGAAGACGATAAATTCTTTCACCTTCGGGGGTAACCATGGATATCTATTTAAATTTGATGTGACTAAAATTATCAGAAAATAAAATCAATAAACAAATCAAAAATTGAACTTACTTTTATCTTTGAGCCGTGAGGAATAGCAGGGATACCATTGTTAGAAGGAATGCGAACTTCCCATATGCCAAATGAATTTTTTTTCATTGGATGCGCAGAGGTATCCCAGCAATCTAAAAGCGTAGATCATTAAGGAATTTTATATTTACAAGGTTCAATTGTTACCATTGAACGGAGACATTAAAAAAAAGGATACTAAAGTCGCCAACCAAACTTGCATTCGTAGCGTTGGGAGCCCACTCGCGATAAACTATATCACCGTTTGGTTGCACATTAAGACCGAAATGTTCATAACTACGCGTAAACTGATCGAAACCTCCTTCATGTTGGTTAATATCTTGAACCCATTTTTTAAAAGAAACGTGTCTAAAGCAAAGGGTACCGTGTAAGTTTAAAAATCAATTATAATTTATGAACTTAGTAGGAATAATTAACCTTCGCTTCAGAACGGGAGCAAAAGGTTCTAGCCAGGGGTCAATTTTAATAATTCCAGTTCCGTCAGTGTCGGTACTTTCCGAAAGATTCATTGCGGTAGGAGGCATTTGAAGCTTAAATGACGAATGTGCTATTAAATAGTTGCTGTGACGAAACAAGTGGGCGTTAAACACGAAATATACATACAAGATAGAAAAGGCGTTCAGTAAATGCTCTTTTATATCACTTTACACCATAGATAGTTAGTCACCCAAAAAAAAGGGTAAAAGAAAAATTATGCCTTTCACGTTCTAATCATCCCACTTTAAATAATGATCGGACATCGACATGAGCTTTTAAATATAAAACACGTTTATATTTGATGTTAGTTTCGATGATCTTCTATTGTTAAAACATAACCTATCGTAACCCAGATAGGGGTACCCGGATTTAGAATTCTTATACGGGGTGCCCGGCTTAATAATTAGTAAGGCAAGTATAGTGAACCGAGTACCCCGTATAAGAATTCTAAATCCGGCTGAATCGGGGCAGCCGAATTCCGAATCGTGCAGATTCCCATCCGGGGTACAACATATATATTTTGATTTATATAGATTTTATTTTTAGATTTATCTAATCTGCTAATGCTAGTAGCTTGGTTTTTTTTTTTTTTTTTAATATTAATGGTGAGACATGTTAGTAGCTTGTTGGTGTAATAAAAAATCTTAAATCTATTAGATTTAAAAGTAAAAACATATAAATCATTTTTATATATTTTTTTATAATATTTTTTTTTTTTATTTCTTTAACAATTTTGTTAAAACTTTAATACAAAATTTTACTAATTAAAGCATTATCTATTTCTAGTAATTCATCTTTTGAAATTGCAAGCCTGGCATCATCCAAGTACAGAAACTGCATCGAAATATGATTTATTATATTAATTTATTTTTAAATTAAGAAATTTTGACAGTTTTGTTAAGAATCAAATCAGAATGAATTATTTTCATTTTGTATTATTTCATTAACATTTTTTATAAACAACTGCCTATGCTCTACTTTTTTTTTTTTACTTTGATTTTATTCATTGATATTTTTTTATTTTTAATTTTTTTTGTATTGTATTCTTCATTTTTAACTGTTTTGACTTTTCTTTGTTTTAATTTTGATGTTATTTCATTCTCTTTTTTTTATTTGATTACTGTTCTACACCTTTGTTATCAAATTTCTTCTTTGAATATTTCTTCTACAATCTTAACATATAATCTAATATTCTATTTTGTATCTTTTCATAAAACTTATTTAATATACAATTTCTTAAATATATTCTCAACTAATAAGTTATATATACATGTCTTTTTATATTTAAGTTTATCTATTTCAATTTCATTAACTAATATTCTTTTTAGATCAAGTCTTGTAAGTTTATTTTTGTCTAACTTGTTAAACTTTTTATATACTAATCAACATACTAATTCTTTGATATTATTCTAATAATTCTTATATTCTTCATAGTTAAATACATGTTTTGATGATTTTTTTTCTATTTTGTACTTCTTATATATATCTGAATCATACAAGTCTGATGTTTTTTTTTTTAATATATCATGCATTAGTAAACTATTAATAATATACTTGAGATTTTTTTATTCTCTTCTAAAGATTTATATTTATTTTTTATTAATTTTCTGTTTTTTTTCTATAGTTATCTTCAATTTTATTGTGCTTCTGGATCTAGTTCTAGCTTTTTTATTGTACTTGAGCATTGCCACTTAGCATTATTTATCATATTCATTAATATTTTAACAAACTTTTTCATTAGTATCTTTATTACTAATTCTTTTCAAAATAATATACATAGAAATCCTAAATTTTTTTTAAGCTTCAAGTTTGTATTCTTATTTTATTATGCATTCTCTTTTGTAAGTTTATCAACTCTTTCATTTCATATTATTCCACTATGTGTTTTAACTTTAACTAATATTAATCTAATGTTCTTTAACTTGTATATGTCTTTGATCTTTATAACTAATCTAAAGTTTTTATTCTTATCTTATATTTAAACATTATATAATGGTTTCTTTCTTTTTAAATTTGCAATTGTTGTTATATTATTTAATTTAATGACTATTTTACTATAACTAATATGACATTTACACTGCAATTAATTCTGCCTTTGTAGACAATGATCAATTTGTTACTTTAATTTTTTCTTTCATTATTAATCTATCTTCATCTTTACTAATCTATATCCAACTTGCTTCTATTCTGCAATTCTTTTTCTTTTTTACTAATAACCTATCTGTATAAAAACTGTAGTTTATATACTCTAATTTCATATTTTTTTCTAATTGCTTCAATAGTAAGATTTTTAAACTACTATTAAATCCTTATATCTTTACCAAACTAATCTTATATATATATATATTTATTTTTTTATCTATAATTTCTTTTTTACTATTAAAACTATCTTCTATATGGTTCTTTTTATATTCACTTAATTCTTCTAACAGAACTGTAATTTTTTGTTTATTCTTTTATCTAATTCTTGACAACATACCAACTATTGCTTTTTTCTTAATCCAATACTAACAATTGCTTGTACTATTTCTATTATTCAAATTGTATTTTTTATATTTTACAAATATTTAATAATTTCTATTTTCAATTTTAGATGTATTTTAGTGATTTATTAGTATTTTTTTTTTCTTAACTACTCTGTCTATTATCGAATCTATATTTTTCTTATTTACTAGCATTTATTCATATCTTTTCTTATTTTGTATTAACTTCTTGTATATAGATTACATTGTTATGATATTTGTGTCTTGTATTTAAAATTCTGCTCAAATCATTCTATCATCTTAATTACTTAATATTTTCTATTGATTTCTACAAATCACTTTGTTTTTCATTTTTTTTATGTACTTGTTTATAATGTTCTAAACTTTTTTATATAATCATTCTTTTATTATCTTGATCAATTAACTGTTATATAAAAAATATTCTATACTTCATCAATCTTCTATATACTATTCTAAATGTTTTCTTTTTATCATACTATATACAGTTTTACTTGTACTATAAACCTGTCAAAGACCATCTTCTGTTTTTACTATTACACTTATTTCTTTTGCTTTAAATATAACTAGATATATTAAATTATTTTTTCAAATTCTTTTTAAATTATTCACCAAAGCTGTGTTTAATTCTTTTAATATTAATTCTGCCAAAGCAAAACTTTGTTTTATTTGTATTCTTATTATTTTACTAACCTAATCTAGCTTATTTGTCTTCTTTATACTAATACTAACTGATTATTAAATATTTCTTAACTCAATATTCTATATTTTCCTAAACCTTGATGCATAATTATACTATTTTCTGTGATCAATGACAGACTTATTTTGTTTTTGATTAGCCTAATTATTAGTTGATATAAGTAATTTAGTTTTCTTTGAATATCTTTGTAGTTTGCAATATGTATATATTTTTTTTTTTTTTTTTTTTTTTTTTTTTTTAAGATTTCCTTTTTGTTTTTTTTGTTTTTTTTATATATTTTTTTTTTTTGTGTTTTATTATATCAGTATATGTG